TTTTTTTTGGCATAGCTAAATGCCCTAAAAATTTACAGATGTGTACTTCACATAATACAAAACCCACTAAAAAAGTTTCAAAAAATAATAAAATTGTTTAGACCCCGAACTAAAGTGAAAACAAAAAGTAAAAAGTGAAAAAAAACGTGGGCGAGCACGTTTTGACACCGCCATCTTTGGAGATTTTTAATTCTTATTTAGCTGATAACTTGAAAATATAAAGGCATGTACCTCACGTCATAGAGCACTCACAAAAAAAAAATTCAGAAAAAAAAGATTAGTTTTAAACCCGAAATCATTCTTGGCGGGGGCCAAACGTCGTCGGGTTCGGACCCCGTACGGGACCCCGAACACCCATACGTACAAAGGTATGCCCGGGGAACTCCGTACGTACGGGCTGGTGACCCTATATATATAAAATGACAGTCTCTGGACGAAGTACAGTTGTCTCTACTAAGAAAGACAAATCACCCATATTGAACTGAGGGAACTATAGAAGCCTTCAACTTAAAGGTTCCTGCTATTACAACAGTTGAATCCAAAAGTAATAATTGCCTATGAACTCGCCGCCGTACTGGAATTAGAAGCGGCGATGCACCAAAGAGCATCAATGCTGGTATGGGATAATGGTAGAAATAATGCCAAAGTGCATATCAGCAACAAGAACAACTTGAATAAGTCACAATCATCAGAACAACAACAACTTCCAGCCATACACGAACGATAGTACCCGTTCCTCGCATATCAACCCTTTTCAATGAACTTGACCTAAAACCTTGGCTTGGTTCACTTAACTGAAGGAAGGTGGCCACAATCGAGAGGAAGGTCACAATGTTGTGTGCGAGGGGCCGAAGGTCACCTAAGAACATCGAGTACGGGATTACGACGTCGACCACCAGGAGTAATGTTGGGATCTCGGCTACCAGGCACACCAGCAACAACGCGATTCCATCTTATAACATAGTTATGAATCTTCTGCTAGAACATGGAAAGATACATGATCACTAACCAGGTACATATGTCTCTTTTATGCCTCTTCTCTCTCTCTCTCTCTCTCTCTCTCTCTCTCTCTCACACACACACACACACACACACACACACACACACACACACACACACACACACACACACATGAATGAATGCATCTAGCGGGAATCTCGGTCAGGTTCACGAACCTATTAATCACAACTAAGTCGGGGTACCTCGAATCGAACAACGTGTCTTCGACGAGGGTAAGATGATATCGAACCTAAATACGACTCTCTCCACTGCGCGCAAAACTTGTCAAACGAGAATGAATTCTCTGATGAAGCATAGGAAGTTACATCTTGTTATGCTGAAGGCTGAGCGTTTCCGGCAACATGATTCAGGTAAGACCTACGCTTTCTTTCATCATCTAACCTCTTTTGTCTTCCCTCCTACTTTGTCACTTTCCCTCTCACGTCATCGCGTATCTGGACCGGAGCCTAGCCAAGTTCGTGCACCTTGCTCATTGCGCAATAGTATGAGTTTCCTGTCACCCCACCTCGCCAGTTCAGCTATCTAGGTAAGTGCTCCTCTGCCTTCTTTCTCTGAATCCAATATGTTCGTCGGTATGGACTCGACTCTCAATCGAATTGCTAGAGGAGACACCCCATCATATTCCTTTGAAAACAACCCCGTGTGTGAGCAACTTTGTCAATGAGCATGTCATGAACAAATGCAAGTGCTAAGTACCACAAGGTAGACTTACGAGGGCGAGTCACAACAGATGAACTGCAATGAACAGGATGACTTAGACAACTTTGAAGACGACCCTCGACTCTGATACTTACGGAAAGTGCCAACTAAAAACGAAATTTTTGCAAGATCATGAGCAAATTCACTGCCTCCAACGCTGCCCCTCAGTCACTTTTGTTCACGCTTGGGAGGTACACTTGGCTATGTTCTCTGCTCTTTTCTTCACCCTTTCTCGTCTTCTACCTCAAAACTTCCGAGTTTAATCCTATTCCTCTTACTTCGTTCCCACACGCCTGTTGGTTTCTCTAGGTCATATGCCACTCCGACTTAATCAGGCTCCAACTGCATTTGTGTTCACATGAAGCCTAGTTCAGCGTAATCCTCCTCCGTTGAGACAAGCCCTGTGAAGCGCAAGACCGGATCGGGGCCCCGAGAAGCGTCAGAGTGAAGACCTCGAACTTGACCACACTAGCGAATACGTCTGTGAGCAGCACATTGACGTACTTCTTTGACTTATGCTGACGAAGACAACTTCCGCAATTACGACGGCCAATAGCGGTGGTGTTGATGACGATTGCCTTGGAGTAACAAGATCAATTGCAACGACAGAGAACATGTCCACGACTTCCTTTTCATGCGACTTCCTTTTTCTTCCTTGGTTCTCTCTCTGTCCTCTGCTTTTCTACCTACTCCACCTCAGTTGCTCTCGACCTTTTCCCTTCCTCCTCTTCGCTTCTGAATGCACTCGGTTGTTATCCCGACCAAATCCGTACAACCTCCCACTACCGTAATTAAATGCAACTTCAATGCAGAGGGCAAACCTTGTTCCCAAATGAGCGGCTTGTTCAGAGTGGGAGGCGGCAAATGCGGAGCCAAGGATTGTTGTAATACTCAATAAAAGTACAATTGAAAACGAATCTTTCACCAGAAAGTGGAAAGGTACATTTCCATATTTGAAACTCCACATAGTAGTCGCGCAGCCCCCACAATATGTACCGGCCAAACCATCACCCCAATCGATGTTCTGGCATGACCATTTGATCCGGAGTGCCCCAAAACCCCCGTTTAGATTCTTCACTCGCCCGATTTCACCAAGAAACTTGCGAGTACTAACTCTTTGCTAAATCTAGATTCAGATTCGAGTTCGCCCTGTCAGGAAACCTCAGTCTACCATTTCATCTCACTCGATTCCGCCGAGGAACGAATGAGTTATGCCCCGTTCCTCCTTGACCTCCTTCTTCTCCCTCGTCATTTTCACAAAGTTTGTTTTCTTCTTCTTCGTCGCCCCCTATTTTCTTCTTCCTTTCATCAATAGCGCAGCGGCCCGACAACAATCCACCCCAAAAATGAGCTCTCGTTTTGTAGACTGTCGGTCGTGCAACTTTTCAGTATACAGCGTGGCCAGCCACACTTCCTAAATCTGCAATGAACCGGCCTGCAATCTACTACCGGGTTCATCCAACTGTGAGGAGTACAATAAGAAACGTTCTCGAGGAATAACCCCATAAAAGATCCCCAAAATCCACCTTGGTGGGATCATTCTTCCTCACCCCATTGTTACACTAGCACTATCTTCAATGCACTTGGTTGAAGTTACAACCATTTTAAAATGCATCTAGTTGCAATCATGCTTGTCGTCCCTGCGCAGGGGCCACGCTAATTTTTTTTTTTTTTTTTTTTTTTTTTTTTTTTTTTTTTTTTTTTT